AGACTAAGGGCCAGTTTGGGAGCTGCACTTAAAAAAAAATATATATATATATATATATGTTCATGTTGTGGTTTAATAATAATCAACTGTGACATAAAATAGTTGAGTGTTGAATAAACTGTATTTTTAAAAGTGTTATGAATATGAAAAGCTGTATAAAAAGGTTTTGTAAATTGTATTGTAGAAATGATATAAATGTATATACTGACAAAAATGGACATGGTTGTGGGGATGGTTGACAGGGCAGTGGTGATGATGTTGGTGGTGGCGGTGGTGGTGGTGGTTATGGTGATGGTGGTGGTAGTGGTGATGGCGGTGGTAGTGATGATGGCACCAACAAAAGTGGAGGTATGTTGGTAGTGCCAATAGTGTAGTGTGGTGATTGGTGTGTAAAGGTAACAATGGTGGTAGAGGCGTGCGACAACGGCAATATTGTTGATTGTGGTTGTGGCGGCTACTATGGTTATGGTGGTAATGGGGACAGTGGCGGTGGCAACAATAGTGGTGACAATGGTGGTCGTAGCTGTTGTGATGGTTGTTGTGGAAGAGGTGGTGGTGGGGGTAGCAACAATGGTTGTGGTAATGACAGTGGTGGTGTAAGGTGAGTGTTTGTAATGGTAAGTGATGGTCACTTTGTTCTCTAAGAGGTAAAATCAGTGTGAAAGGTTAAACTAATTAGGATATCACATGGATTGAAAATTAATGAGGGTATTACAGGAATTGAAAATATTCATTAAAGACTCAACTCCGCTTTTTATTAAAGCAACTTTTAAAAGCTCCCTTATGCTGCTTTTAAAAGCTATTGTTTGGAGGGCATTGCTTTGAAAATAAGCATGATATTTCATTTTTGTCAAAAAAATTTTATTACTAAACTTTAAAGTGAAGCAGTTGTTGGTAAAAAAAGTAATACCAAACGGGGTAAAAGAAAGCTTGCCCTGCATGGTGCATTCTTACCCTAGTTTGTCATTTCCCTCCTCATTGTTCCTGTATCACCCATCCTAGGAATGTTCTCACCCGAACTCGCTTAACTTCAAAGTTCCGATGGAATTTGAAACCAGTGAGTCCCCAAAAGGCCTCGTGTTATATGGAGGTGGACATGTACATATAAAGCACATCACCCCCTATCCGTTGGTCGATGTGGGATGTTACAATCCACCCCCCTTAGGGGCCCGATGTTTTCGTCAGCACACTTGCACCACACAGCAGAGTGGTTCTGATACCACTCTGTCACATCCAAAGCCGGCTCCGCCATAGCACGATATTGTCCACTTTGGGCCACGCCTTCACGGTTTTGTTTCTGGGAACTCACATAAGAACTTCCCAGTGGATCACCCATCCTAGGAATGCTCTCGCCCAAACTCACTTAACTTCGGAGTTCCGATGGAATCCGAAGCTAGTGAGTCCCTAAAAGGCATCGTGCTATATGGAGGTGGGCATGTACATATAAGGCACATCACCCCCTCTCCGTTGGTCGATGTGGGATGTTACAATTGGCTTTGGGCTTAGGGTGAAATTTTTCGGCCCTAACAATCATAAAACCCGATACATAAGACAAGACCTTGAACTCCATGATTTTCACAATACAATAAAACAGATCATAAACGATAATATGTCAATTAATCCTATGATAACATAATTAAATCGACTGTAACCCAAATTAAAATTCCTCATACTTTAATTCCATGTCAACACTATCATGCATGCTTCCATTAAGGTTACATCCCAACAATCTATATCATTCCATACAAGGTTTACGCGCACACAAGTCTATTCATACATTTCTTGTATACATGCATCAATATAAATTAAAGTACCGCCTAAAACATAGACAAGTATCAGTAGGTTTACGCACACACAAGTCTATTCATACATTTCTTGTATACATGCATCAATATAAATTAAAGTACGGCCTAAAAAATAGAAGTATCTGTAGGTTTACGCACACACAAATCTATTCATACATTTCTTGTATACATGCATCAATATAAATTAAAGTACGGCCTAAAAAAATAGACAAGTATCTGTACGGATAGTGTTATATAGATTTCAGTTCTCCACAAATTGTGTCAATGGTAGAAGCCACAATAAGGTCGAATGATAATGATCAAATCAAATGCAATTGGAAAACTCAAATACCAGTACACCATCCAATACATAATCCACCTCTATTTTTTTTTTTTTTTTTTTGAACAAGCGATATTACTTACACTAAGAGAGAACATGTGGCTTAGCCTCACAATGGGTAGCAATAATGTGGTTCAAATTCGTTTTTGGTGAAAATCGAACCTAATACATCTCAATTATTTTATGTAGTTGGTTGAAACCTTAACCCCATAAGTCCTTATAATTATATGCCATCGTTATTAATTAGTAACAATGACGAAATATTCACGTATGAAAAATGATTATTCACGGGCTACACGAAATATTAATTCAAAATGTCAATCTATGAAACCAATCCGATGGAAAAGAGTTGTCAATGTATGTTATTCAAAGTTGGTGCCATTGCTATACAATAATTCCAATATCAAAGATGATTATATCAACATGAATCAACCATTCCAAACCCAATTACTCATATAACGGCAAACCCCAAAATCTTATTACATATATGGTGCAATCAAAACTGTCAAATTGAATTTTTAATATGAGCCAAAATATATTTACATGCTCTTGATAATTAGTTTTAGTACATATTAATTCAATTCAGAAATCGATAAAAACACATATGTCGAATTGAATTAGCCGCACAATAGGCAAAAGCCAAAACTTGATTACTGCATAAATTTTGACATGCATATTACAGCAAAGTCAAGCAAGGTCATATCAAATCATCGCTAAAAAACGAGGCCACATCAAAATCATTACTCATAAGCGGGGTCAAATCGAAACCATATATTGCTCATAAGCGAGAATTCGACCCACCAACAACCAATTAATACATCAACCCAAACCCGCAAATCTTGCCCCAAATTAAGGGAATAGGCCTTGCAAGGCAATAGTTCTCGAGTTTTGGATGGTGGCTACATTGAAGCCACGAAAATTTGTTGCCCATAAAATGGTGGGGGTGAAAAGGTGTTGCGCAACACCAAGGATCGGAGAGAAAAGGGAAAAACAAAGGGAGGGTCGCCGAGGAGTGGTCGAGGGAAGGGGGGATGGAAGCTGGGGAGTGGAGAGGATAGGAAGGTGAAAGGTTAGGAAGAGGGGAGGCCCTAGAGGAAGGGGGGAGAGGTTGCCGCCACCCCTGAGCCAAAGTAAGGGACCAGTTGCTAAGACTTTTGCAGAGTGATATAATAATCGTGATGTTCTAGAATGATATGTTTATTATAGTACTACCAATGTTGATTGTTAAACCATGAGTGTCCTACACTATATAGCCGTAAATTAGACCATCTCCAACCGAATGGTCAAGAGGGCCAGAGGGCCGAAAAACGCCCAAAACCGTCTCCAACTGAGGGCTAGGCCAAATGGCACGTGGGCCCCACTGGACAAAAAATGGCCAAAGGGCCAACCAGCTGGTCTAAATGAGCTAACCAGCCAGGCCCGGGCTGGGCCAGAAATTTGAGCATTTCTGTCAGATATAACCGATAAGAATGCTAGGCCAAATTTTCAAATTCAACGGCTAGATACCGTTGGATTCAATTTTTTTTTTGTTTTTGGGCCAAATTTTTTTTTATGAATTTAAAAAATTTAAGTTAATGTTGTTTTTAAATTTAATTTGTAGTTTTTAAATTTAATTTGTAGTTTTTAAATTTAATTTGTAGTTTTTAAATTTAAGCTGTAGTTTTTAAATATAAGTTGTAGTTTTTAAATTTAAGTTGTTGTTTTTAAATTTAAATAATAAATTATGTTTGGCACTATGGCCCTTTGGCCCACAGTTGGAGACCGTTTTTGTGACATGGCTAAAACGAGCCATATGGCCCTTTGGCCCTCGGTTGGAGATAGAGGCAAATATGGCCCTATACTGTTCCTTAAAATATTAATATCTTGGAGGACCAGAGAGCTAAAACGAGCCCTCTGGCCAGCCTTTGGTTGGAGATAGTCTTATTACTTTCACTTTTGAGTCTCTACCATCACTTCTAATGATATTAGGCCATCTCCAATCGAAGGCTGATCAGAGAGCTCGTTTGCCCTTTGGCCCTCCAAGATATTAATATTTTAATGAACATTATAGGGCCATATTTGCCTCCATCTCTAACCAAGGGCCAAAGGGCAATAAGGCTTGTTTTGGCCCTGACACAAAAAACCGTCTCCAACAGAGGGTCATAGGGCCAAACATAATTTATTATTTAAATTTAAAAACTACAACAACTTAAATTTCAAAACAAAAGCAACTTAAATTTAAAAACTACAATTTAAATTTAAAAACTACAAATTAAATTCAAAAACAACATTAACTTAAATTTAAAAATTACAACAACTTAAATTTAATATCCATAATCAACATCATCTTCATCATCCACCATTGTAGGAGTATAGTCAGAGGTAAACAACTGTTGCCGGGTCATAATATCTCTTTTTTTCCAATCAAAATAGGCTTTCATTGAAGTGTAATTCAACGTGTTCCTTTCCATATTCTTATCATCCATCTCTTCTTGTATTTGTTTGGCCCGTTCTTCATGCCTATGGTTCCTTTCTTCCGCGACAATGGCATTTTGCTCAGCCATTAATCGTAATGAGGCCGCCACTTCCTGTTGAGTGGCGCAATCATCATTTGCCTTGCCCTTTTCCTTCAACCTTCGGGCCTTGTTTCGTCCCATAGCCCTAGGTATGGAACTTTCATCCAATGACGGATTTTCTACCCTTGTTTGTTGAATGGTAGGAGATCCATCTTCATCCATATCCAAGATTCTAAAAGACGATGGGCACTAGTCGGGCTGCGGGCTAGGGCCTAGTACCTAGGCGGTTAGGTGGGTCTAGGTGGATTTAATTAAATATATTGTATTTCATATAAATAAGTGTTTGTTTATACTTAAGATATATATTATTTCATCATAAACTACAAAATTGAATGATATATATATTATAACATAATGAAAACATGGGGAACAAGTATATAATGTGTGTTCCCTTAAGTATTCAACAAGTCTCTTACAATTTATTGAAAAAATAAAATGCAAAATGAGAGTTATCTATTATCTGTGTAAGTAAGTTGCAACCCAGTCAGGTGTCTAGGCGGGTCTGGGCGGTCTAGGCGGGCGCCTCAGTAGTTCAAGGTGCCCTTCTTAATTTTCAAACTCCTAGGCATTACTCGGGATGGTGGCCAACCATCTAGCACCTAGGCGAGGATTTTTAGAACAATGTCCATATCTACAGCTGAGGCAGTTCCGAACACCGGCGTAGGAGCTACTCTATGTTGAGGTGGATCTTCAAATAACACCCACCCTTTACAAATTTCCCATCAACCTTGATGCTAAAAGGGTTTCGAGCTGCCTTCCATATACAATTCCTCCACTTGGCGTACCTAGAAAATATAATTACAAAAATTAAAGGAAATTAATTTATGAAATTAAATGTAATATAATGAAATATAATTACAAAAATTAAGGAAGGAGAAATTAGGTTTTCATCCCTCTTTTTTCAACTTCTTAAATTGAATTCTTTTTTTAATTTTTAATCAAGGCCCTTGGTTTTAATAAACATCATTAATTATTTCAATAATAAAATATTTTACAAATCAAGATAATTAAATTTTATTTATAAATTATTCATTTAGTGTTAGAATGTTACATTTGATATATTTATATTTATGGCTAAATTTTGTATCATATATTTTTATTTTTATTTTGTACCCTTTTTTTAAATTGTGCCAATTTTCTATTCAGTTTTAGTTTGTACCGATATATTAATTTCTTTTTGTGTCCATATTTTTCAAACTTTTATTTGTACTCATATTTTTTGACCTTTTATTTGTACCCATAATTTATTAATAATGTACCATTTGTCTTTAAAAATGTACCACTTTGTTATATGTAAAATGTACCCTTTTTTTTTTGTAAGTACCATCTCTTTTTTATGTAAAATGTACCCATTGTTTTTTTTATATATATAAAATGTATCACCTTTATTTTGTATAAAATGTACCAACTTTTTGTATGTAAAATGTATCGTATAAAAATTACCAATTTTTCATAAGTAAAATGTCATTAATACAAGTAATGACAAATCATGGGTTTTATTTAAGTATATTTTTTTAAAATATTTTCAACAAATTATGGATTTTATTTAAAATCTCATTAATATAAATAACTACACATATCAAATTTTAATTTAAAAATTATAATAACCTTCATAGAAAGGCATTATTGCATTAATTTCATGGACTTCAATCAAAAACCGAAAACCAACAAGGTTTCAATCAAAGAACGTTGATAAATAGGTGCCGCATCCAAAGTTACCCTTAAAGGAAATTAATTTATGAAATTATATGTAATATAATGAAATATAATTACAAAAATTAGAGGAAATTAATTTATGAAATTAAATGTAATATAATTAAATATTTAAAATAAATTGTGAAAACACTTACTTCGTCGTAGTAATTGGGCCGCTTTCATGTGTACTTGTGGCTGCTAACAGTGCTTGATGCCATTTATTCAAATTTGGATGAAGATGTTTCTTCCATCTTGAAGAACAACTCTCGTGGTTTCAGGTATTTGATGGAATGGTGCCTTCGTAGAACTCATAGTATTTTTTGGACACACAAGTCCAAACACCTTCACTTGTTTGAGAAATCCCCCTCACACTATCTTCCAAGACCCATTTATAAGCCCTGCAAAGAGCTTCATCTTCTTTTCGAATCCAAACCTTACCTTTCATTGCAGATGAGGCCATTTGAAAAATATTGAAAAAATTGAAGGAAAGATTATTGGAAGATGTAAGAAAATATAATGTGAAGAATTGAAATAGAATGAAGTGAGATAGTATAGAATGGTGAAAATTATGTGATAAATGGTGTAGGAATGGCTTATGTATTTATAGGGGAAAAAAAGAAGGAATTTTTTTAATTCATTAAAAAAAATTAGCCTAGAAAAAAAAAAAATTGAATCCAACGGTAACTGATGTCAGCTAACCGTTGTATTTGAAATTTTATCCAACGGTTACACATAATATTATTATGGTAATAACAATGTTAATTTTTACGTGGTGGACGCCATAACAAGGTGTGTGGGCATAAAAACGCATGAAAACACCGTTCGAAGTGTACAATACTATTTTCAACAGGTATCGTAGACTATGTATACAAATATATTTCAATATCTAAGGAGAAGTGAGGGGTTGAAACTTGAAGGCGATCATCATGTAAGCGATTTTCACCAAAAAGAGAAAGTGTAAGCATGACCTCACCAATCTCATCTTGACCTAACAACAAATAATTGAGCAACAATATTTGGTTTATAGTTTAGGTCTAATTCTCCTTCAACAAATAGCGTACTGAGGACTTTTCATTCACCAAAACTTGCCACTAGTACTCTCAAATGGAACTTAATCACAGTATTAACAAGTTTGAAAGAACAATATATAACTGTACTAATTAAAATATGTTATTAATTAACTAATAATTAACACGCTGATTGCAATGAATAAAATGTTGAGCTTAATTCGTTTAGTACTTAAAATAGTGGTCAAACCCTAGAAGCAATAGCCAAGTACAAGATGTGTTAAAACAAGTCTTGAAGGGTAAAGAACACCATAAAGAAAAAAGAAAAGAAAACTAATGAAAAGAACTTGAAAACTTTGAGTTTTAATCAAAAGAACAAAAGTCAACATGCTAATAAACAATTTCTTTATAATATAAGCAATATTGCGGAGAGGAAGACCGTCTCACCACTGGTACTAATAATAGTTTTTAAAAAGTGATTAATAGGTAAGTATAATGTAAACACTAATTACACATATACATAAAACCAAGAATGGAAAAACAAACACAGTATCAAATTTTCTCTGATATGATTCAACTGTTTCCAATTTAACCAAAGGAAAAACAGAATTGTAGAATTTAAGTGTATTAATGCCTTTGTATGATGTACTACAACAAAAACCTCGATCGAGCGACCAAGTCTTCAATTTACTCACCAATTATCATGAGCCATGACACATCCAGAGAGTCCAGAAGCCTCAGTTCCGAACAGTATAGTTTTCTCACCCAATACCTACAAATTTCCATGGACTTAAAAGAAAAGAAGAAAAATGTATTTGCTTTTATTGTAAAGATATTAAACCCCTGTAGTAATGATTAATGAATTTGATAATGTGACGATTATTAGTCTAATTTAATTAAGAATCATGACTCCAGCGCGAAGGGCGTCTGTAACAGATCATATGGGGCCCACAGAGCATCCAATGGGCACGGCCGGTTGGCGTCCAGTCTCACCCACGGCTTCCCCTTCCCGCTCCAATGCAGCAAGCTCACCGGACCCGGATGCAAATCCCGACACAACCCACGAAAGTTATCTCCGCCCAGTCCGTGCTGGTTCCATCGGTGGTCCACGGCGGCGATGTTTCCGGCGAAAACCAATAGGAACGGCGGCAGGGACCCGAGCTCGTAGATCCGCATCCGCTTCTGGAGCTCCATCCACTCCGCGATCCGATCCGTGTACCCGCCCGATCTCCACTCGTCCAAGTCGATGACCATGACGCCGGTGTTGAAGTAGCAAGCCTTGCGGTTCTCGAAGGTGAGGGAGAGTGTCGGGTTCGACCAAAACGACGGCGTAAAGTAGGATGTGAAGTTGGCGTTGCAGTACTCCGGGGCGGCAAGGACTTGGGTGGGGCCCAGCGGTGTCGACGCCAGCTTGGAAATGTCGTCGACAAGGATGATGTCGGAGTCCAGGTAGACGACACGGCGGACACATGTCGGTAGGATGTTGGCGAGGTAGTTGCGGGCATAGTTGAGAGGGCAGTCGAGGGCGGAGCGGATCGACGTCGAGATAAGCCCCGCAACGGCCGAGTCATCGAAGGGGTAGACTCGGAATTTCAAGTAGGGAAATGACTTGGCGATGGTTTGCTGGAGGAGTTGGGAGTTGGAGGTGGAGGAGGACACGAAGTGGAAGATAACATTTTCCGGGCAGGAGGAGTGTTGGAGGACGGAGAGAATGGCAGCCATTGAGCCGCGGAGGTAGGCGGCGTCGAGGGTCATTGCCACGTGGAAGGCCTCATGCGAGCACACGGCCACCTTGTTCTCGCGGTTGTTGAGGTCGGGGCAGCTGGGGGAGTTGTAGAATTTCGGTGCTTCCTTGAATCGTTGAGTGGTAGATGCGGCGAGCGCTTCCCTAAGTCGTTCAGAAGTAGTGACGGCGGCATTGGTGGTGGTCGTAAAGAGGAAGATGAAGCTGATGAAGAAAGAGAGCATGATAAGAAAAATTGGACAATTAGGAAAGGTGGTGATAGGAAAGGGAGGAGGTGTGTGGTGGTTTGGTTTTAATTTGAGGGAGGAGAGGGTATTTAATTTTTGACAAGGGGAGGGAGGGACGGAGAGAGAGAGGGGGGGGAGGGAGTTTGTGTAGAGTTTTTGGGGACAAGGGGAGGGAGGGACGGAGAGAGAGAGGGGGGGGAGGGAGTTTGTGTAGAGTTTTTGGGGAGAAGACACTTCTGCGATTTCTGCGTGGCTTTGAAACCACGTTGGTTTCAAAACTGAGCTGCTGAGGAAGCAAAGTCAAGGGAAGGGGGTCGTTGTTCAAACTAAACAAAATGGAGTCAGTTTATTTCTCTCACCAGGAAAAGAATGGGATTATTCTTCTTCCTTACGTGTGGTTTTTTACCAAAATTTTTGGAAACCAATAGACTTGGTAATATGCCATCGAGACCCAGACCGCTACTCTACTAGCTATGTAAGTGTACATTAATTTCGTCTAGTCACACTCAATTTTTTTTCTTTTTAAAAAAAAAAAATCTTGAATTAAAATTTATAATTAATAACGCATGAAGTAATACGTGAACACAAAACTTCGGGTGCACAAATCAACGCTCTTAACTACTTGAGTTTCAATTTATAAATCATTATCAATTTGCATAGCTTGCTAAGGAAAACTTGATATACACGTGAAAAGTAACAATTCATTAGATTCTACTAATTTAGATATATATTTTCTCAAAAGATAATCCAACTATTGATCGTTATATTATATGATTTACAAAATATGGTCTAAAAAGATAGTCTTCCTATCATTTTTCTATTTCTATTAATTTCTTATTACTCTATCTAATTAAGTTGAATATTAAAGTACTGGAGGGAAGGAATTGAAGCAATCCCCTTTCCCTAATTGTCTAGGTTGTAAAATAAAAAGTGATTAGGACATCATAACCCTTGAGCTGGACTACTTTTTAAGCAAAAAATGAGCATGAAATATTAAGATTGTTGTATTAATTGCACAAATTTCCACAAATTAAAAGTTTATTGCTAGCATCATATATCGTGTGGATGAGCTGGTGAGGTATCCCCTTCAGGGAAATCAAATTCCAACCTCATATCATCTATATGTGTATGCTTCTGTTCAAAGCTATACTCTGTTTTCATATACAACTCCCAGCAAGAAGTGATTCCAAGAAGGGTGAAATGGGAACTAGAAAGTTCTGCCACTAATGCATCTAATTTGGTATAGAAAGAAATATCCTTATAGCTTCATCTTAGTTTGGAATCAATTGCCAAACGGTAGTGTTTATATATTGGTATTGGTCATAAAACACACAAATCACATTTTTTTTTTTTTTTATACATTTATGGTAGTTACTCGACTCAATGCCAATCGAAGTCAAAACATGTTGTACTTTGGATGTAACAAAAAAGGCAACAAGTTACCAGACGACCAACACACACATAACATTTTTGTCCGATAACGTTTCTATCATTAAAAAGTCTGCATTAAAAATTTAAATATTTCTTGTATGGACATCATTTACCAGTATTGTTTTTTGGGGCTAATTATAGAAATAGTTCTAGCAATTCATGGGGAAGTATTTTATTATTTTTAGACGAACCCTAAACTAAAGAGAAACGGATTTCACTTAAGATATCTTCCACTAATGAGAAGAAAATGAGTTAACTAAGATATAGCCATATGACATTTGACATTTGATGTTATAAAGAGTACGTACTTTTAAACGAACCCTAAACTAAAGGAAATGTAAGTCGTGAACCCTTGTAACATGGACGTTGATCAGTGTCCTACCCTGCTTTTGCAGTAACCCTGAATCCCTATTGGCTATTTCCCTAATCATATAGTATCATCTCTTTTTTTTTTTTTTTTTTTTAACAAACAATATTATGTACACTAAGGGGAAGAATGTGGGCTAATCATATGGTATCATCTTCTTCTTTTTTTTAACAAACAATATTATCTACACTAAGGGGAAGAATGTGGGCTAAGCCTCACAATAGACTAACAATAATATGGTTCAACTTCACCTTTGATGAAAATCGAACTTAATTAAGACCTCTCACTTACAAGTAAAGATGAATATTATTAAACCGTAGTACTAAGTGATTATATAGTACCATCTTAAACCCTAATTATAATACAATTAAACTAAACTTGAAATTATTGAAGCAAGAGGGGAGCACTAACTTGAATTATGTTATTCCTTTCCTTTTGTTCCGGTTAGTGGAGGGAAAATACTTAATGCGAAACCCTACATAAACTGTTCATGTGTCATATGATGGGGGCACTAGAAATTTGGGATCCGAAATTTGTGTTGATCTTTTGGGCCACCTCATTGCATTGTACAACCTGATATTTTTGTAGCCTTAACTGACGTAAGAGAGTTGCCACCTGGCCCTTTGAATGCAAATCTGGATTCTCACCGAATCCTTTTTGTGAGATCCTGAGAATTTGTGAATCATATCTGTTTATCGTACATTATACAGTTAAAAATTATTTTAAATATTTTTATGTAAAATTAAATACAAACAGTACCTGATAAAAACTAACGGTACGATGTATGATAAACAAACACGATTTACGAATTTTCAAAATCCTCACCAAAATAATCTAAAGAGGATCATGTTGGTTTGAATGCAACCAAAGGGAAAAGGAGGCAGATCGTGCCCTCGTGATATGGTGTCTCCCCATGCCTTCTTATTTGTGCGGTCATGGTTAAGTTACGTTAACATTTTATATTCCTATTACTTTTTGTCTTATTATCTCTATAAAAAAAATCAATATAAAATGTTGACTTGACTTAACTATGATCACATAAAATAAGAGAACACGAAAATGGCACCATATGAAGGGTAGACAATCTGCCTCCAAGGGAAAAAGGTTGGTTGCTTCTCAAAACGGATTAAAACGCATTAGAAGATGATTTGTTTCTTGTGATCCTTCTAACAATTTTTAAATTTGTCTGGATATCTTGCATTTTAATGATCACAAATATATCTCAAGGTAAATATATATATATATATATATATATATATGATTAAGTTGTTCCCTCCTTTTTTTAACATTTAAATATATTTTTCTGGAAATTTCCGACCTAGACGCGACCACAATCACATTTGAAACTACTAAAATGCAAGAATCAAGCTTACTGAGGTCTTTACGACTTTTTTTTTTTTTTTTTTTTTTTGAGTCTTGATTAATTAGGAGGATTATTTGGTTGATGCAATGCTTTGTCTAAAGCTTCGACTTCGTATGCCATGTTTTATTATAGAGCAATCTATTTTTACTTTTATTTTATAAAAGTGATTTACGTAAAAGACTAAAGAGAAATCAAACTTGGGTTAGAATATGTTGTTTTATCTAACTTGGTTCAATCCAAATCTATCTTGCATATAATTTTGAAAGGAGTTGGATTCTCTCTCCTCCCGTCTCGCCCACTCACACTTTTCTCTTTTTCTTTATACTCTCAACAAAAGATCAACACAAGATATTAACATAGCTTAATCGTGACAATTCAAATAGGAGGGAACTAGAGGGAGAGAATATGGAGGGAAATGATCCTATTCTATTTTTAAAATAAGATAATGCTTGTTTCATTCCATGGGAGACTTAACAGTGGCGGAGCCACATAGAGGCTAGCCTAAGCCTGTCCTGAACTTTTAGGAGTATATATTTAGGGGTATGTTATCCAAACACCCTTTTTATTTCATACACACTCTCTTAATTTGCTGCTATCTGATCGACTGAATTAAAGAAATTAAATGACAGAAATTAACAAGGGATGTGTGAGAACTGAGAAGTAAAACATGGCGTGTGGATAACATACCCCTATATTTATTGTCTGCTATTTCTTATAAGGCTTTTTAGCCAAAATAGTCCTTAAGATTTGCATAACACATAACTTTGGTCCCTGAGATTGAAATCAATAGAAATAATCCTTGAGATTGTCCACCATCCATCATTTTGTTTCTTCCTTTAAAAACTCTTTAGGCAATTTTCAAAGCTTCGTAACTCAATCGTTTCTTAACCAAATTTGACTCATAATATATCAAAATGATGATAGGAAAGTGTAGAATAAGATTATACATATTTGGAAGCCCGATGGTTGCCGTAGATGGTCGGAAAATAGCCTGAAAGTGACTGGTCCGCAGGAAAATTGGAAAACTGTCCGGAAACTAGGTAAACTTTAAATGTTCATAACTTTTTCAATACTCAACGAAATCAAGTGATTCAAAATGAAAATCATACTTCTCGACGAGACGAAGAGAATGGTACCTTTCTCAATGGCTAGATCACAATAGTTGTTCCGTAAAATGGCTCGAAAGTGGCTTTCCTGGTCTCAAGTTAGCCACTTTCGAGCCGTTTTCCGGCCAAACCACTATGAATTATCCATCTAGAAAGGCACCATTCTCTTTTTCTCATAGAGAAGTGTGATTTTCTTTTTGAATCACCCGATTTCATTGAGTATTGAAGAAGTTATGAACGTTTAAAATTTACCAATTTCTGGCCAGTTTTCCCACGGACCAGTCACCTTTCAAGCTATTTTCCAGCCATCTCTGGCAACCTTTGGATTCCAAATAGGTATAATCTTGTTCTACACTTTTCTATCTTCATTTTGATATTTTATATTGAATTACAAAGCTTTGAAAATTGCCCAAAGAGTTTTTAACAGAAGGATCAAAATGGTGGATGATGGATAATCTCAGGGACCATTTCTATTGATTTTCAATCTCAGTGACCAAAGTTATGTGTTATGCAAATCTCAGAGACCATTTTGGCTAAAAAGCCTTCTTATAATAAAGAGTTTGTTGTGCATTTGCAAGTGGAGTGTGACAATTCCATCATTCCATGGGTTCAAAATATGTTGATGCCAGTTTAGAGCAATATCCAATTATGTTGAAAGTAAAACCTCATGGTAATAATTTTCAACCATGACCTTAATTTTTGTTCGAAATAATTAGCCGTTTGTTTTACCATATAAAAACTAATTTCTTGTTTTTGGTCAATTCATATAAAACAAGATTTATACGGTTAGTTTAGAGAAATAGTCTAATTATGTTGAAAGTAAAACTCCATGATAATAGTTTATATAAAACCCGACATAGTCGTTTTACTTGAATAAAACCCAATGACTAGGCACCACATAAACAAATTCATTAATTATGTTTGACTTTACACATTTTGCATTTTTCAGATGCCTAAAATACCCCTAATTACAATTTTAATGTATACATTTAATTCTATGCAAATTTGAAGGGAAGGATTAATGA